GAATTACAGCTCACCTTTTCTCTTGGAAGCAGCATCCCAGTTGTCACAAAAGTGTAATCAGTGCATTAGAGGAGGTACCAAGCTCCCTTTTGTAGAACTAGGTGGAACCTAGCCAAGTGCTGGCTTTCTGCTCAAGGGCAAATGACAAAAAATGGATCCTACAGTGTACAAATTAGTAGTTGCTTGCCACTTCGTATGACCTCATCCTAAAATGAGCAGGTTGGGAACTGTCTCCGTTTAGTGAAAACTTTTACTTCTAGAGGAAGTGTGAGAATTCAAAATCCAGCAGCTTTCAGGCATTTCCTTCTGAATAAAAAATTAGCATCACAATACTGTGGTCTGGTCTTTATTAGGTTTTTCCCCACTGCTATCATGGAGTCTTGGCAAAAGGGCTAGTATGACCCCTGTGTCATCCGGACTGACTTAATGGAGCTGCTAATTGTCTCTGCTTGTGAAGCTGCAGGTGAGAGAAGAAGTAATAACACTAACAAAAGGCAGTGTGGACACAGCCATAGGAGGGTGACAGCTAAAGCATTTTCTACCAGATCTTACAACATGGGATTTGTGAAAGTCACTGTTGCTCTAGTTAGACAGTGGTCTGAGGAGAAACTCCATGGTGCTGAGGAGTGAAGGCCTGTATTTTGAGCCACTGTATCCTGTGAGGTTTCCTGTTGGTCTTACAGAGCAGGTGGTCTTAGGCTTCCAGTACTTGGAAGGTTCATGTTCTGCTGTGGCTGACAGGAAAATGAAACCAAATCCATTGTGAAGCAAAACTGCCTTTTTTTGTGAGTCCTCAGTGTATGGCAAATGGTTTCTTTGGTTAACCTCTAGCTAAATTAACTGAGATCAGCTTTTGTCACTTTAGAAGGGACTTTGCTTGTGTTTTGACATGTCTAAGTAAGAGATATTAGTAGGGCAGGTAGTGACTGTTCAGAGAAACTATTCCTCTCCCAAGTTTATGTAACCCTTCTGCTGGGCACCAGTCGGCAGCAACAAGGGCAAGGTTAAAATTTCAGCATACCCAAAGAGTTTTCATTGTGGCTCGAGCTCCCACTCAGAAATCCAGGATCACTGAATTCGGCTGGGGTCTTCTGCATAAAGGAAACCTCCTTCTTGCAAGCAGTGTAAGCACAAAGAACAGATTTATTATGGAAAACAATGAGCAAAGAAAACAAAGGAAACACCAAATGCAACTCAAGCACTCTTAACTACAAAGTATGAGCATCTATACACATACTCCAGGGTGGAGGGGAGGCGCTTTAATTAGAGTGGGTCTGAGAGCCACTCTAATTAAAGCACATGAAGTGTCATATGTATTTAGAGTCCTATGTTTCAAAATGGTGGCGGGGGAGCTTTAACTAAAGCTCGTTCGACAAGCTTTTGTTAAAGCGCCCCACCACTATTTTGAAATGTGGCTGCATACATGTGATGCAGACGCTGCTAGGGTGTGCTAATTAGCACATTCCAGCAGACTCGATTAATCAAGTCAGCTCCGACGTGTGCTGATTAGCACGCGTCGGAGCAGAGCTCATGTGTATAGGTGTAAGGGGCCCCTCATTGCTCCCTGGGAAGGCTGTCGGGTGCTCATCTCCGCTTCCATGTAGTGGCTGCGAGGGGTTGACTGGGGCTCCAGTCAGCATGCCGCATCCCCAGAATTCCTAGTCCCAATCCCACAGCTCCATCTGGAGCAGGAAACTGCAAAAGAAGTCAAAGGAGGAGCCAGCTCTATCTGCACTGGGCCTGGACTGAACAACAAAAGAGGCAGGCCTCCTGCACTGTGGCCTGGACATACAACTGGTTCCAGACACACTGCTTAACTGTGACATAAACTGCAACAGCAACAAAATGTACCAGGACTCAGACCTGGCCCGAAACATGTCAGGCCTCAAGCCCAACCAGCAAAACTGCCAGGCTCCAACCCTGGTCAGTTTGCTCCAGGGATTAATATCCCCATGGTATTATCCCACTTAAAACCCAGGGAAAAAAGGGGGTAAAAGAGGAGAGAAGCTGATTCCCAGACTCTAAGACAGATGTTCTCTCCCTTTACCTTGGATTTCCCCTACACATAGCTCAAACCTGCTTTTCCAATGAAGAGGGGGGAGACCTCCTCACATGGAAAACAGTTTTCTGCAGCTTAGTTCCCCAGTTATGCAGCCGTCTCTGTAGCAGCTCTTGCTAGCTAGCTCTGCAGCTGGAAGACTCCTATATACCTTGGCATGACATAATCCCATATTTTCCAATCAGGGTTTGCCATGCTTCCAGCTTTTTTTTTTTTTAGCCAATTAATTTCAAACACTCTTCAAATCTAGCCAATGAGGCTAGGGGTCTGATTTTGCCTGCTTAGGTGACTTTCTGGTATGAGCACACAGCAGGGGGTGTGCCAAAACAAAAGCCACTTGTATCATTGTAAGGGGCTTTTCTGCCTACATGCAGACAGCACATTTCTCCAAGCCAGAGGAGAGGAGGCCAGATACACAGCAAGTATAGTGAATGTGAAAATATATATATATATATATATATATAGCAATACACTTTGCAGTCTAAACATGATATCCCACAACATGAAACTAGAACACCTGCAGTGCAAAATGGCTTGTACATTCTGTGTATGCTATATTTGTAGTAACCTCCAGAGAAAAATGCACTGTATTACCCAGTCGCTAATACAGACGAGTGCTAAATAGGCAAGTCTGAAATCCTTCCACTACATACTCCTACTGTGCTTCTCCATAAGAACAGCCATACTAGGTCAGATCAAAGGTCCATCTTGCCCAATATTTTATCTCTAGTAGGATAGGTAGCAGGTGCTTTAGAGGAAGAACCTGAAAAACAGGGCATGTGTAGAATGATCTGTCCCTCCCAGTTACCAGAAGCCAAAGGATTAGGGATGTTCTGAATTTGAGGTTACATCCCTCACTTGCATTTAATAGCTCTAGATCAGTGCTTCTCCACCTTTTTGGACTCGAAGCCTCCCTCATTAGATTCAAGGTCCCGCCCCACCCCCTCCCACTTTGTGATTTGAGTGGCACCAAATGTCAAAAACTAATTTATATATTACAGTGCTTACTTCCCTGCAGAGGGGCAAGGCAGCAAGAGTGGGGATTGGCCAGGCAGGGATAAGGCTCGACCTGGACTTACCTGCTTTTCTCTTCATGCCTCACTTATCTCTTCACACCTTGTGGCACTCTTCAAAGGATCGTGTGGCACCCCAGGGCACCACAGCACCCTCGTTGAGAGTCATTGCTCTAGATGGACTGATCCTCTATAAATTTGTCCAATTGCTTTTTGAAACCAATTATATTATAGGCTTCTACAACTTTCTGTGGCAACACATTCTGAATTTTAATTAAGTGATGTTGCATTAAGAAAAGGGGAAAAAAGAAAAAAGAAAATAAAAGGGCTTCCCTTTGTTTATTTTAACCCTGCTACTTGATTTACTATATCAAGTGCCCCCTACTTCTTGAGTTATGTAACATGGAAAATAATAGTTCTCCATTCACTTTTTCCAGACCACTCATACTTTCATAGACCTCTCTCATATACACCATTTAGCCATCTCTTTTCCAATCCCAACCTTTCCAGTATGGAAACTGTAAATTCTTTCCTGGTATGGAAACTGTTCCAGAGCCTTGATCATCTTTGTTGACCTTCTTTGCTACCTTTTCTAGCTTCTCTATATCCTTTTTGATATGGGGTGACCCACATGGTACACAGTATTCAGGATGTGGGCGAACTATGGATTTTTGTTTCCATGTTGCCTCCTCCCTTAGGTGTGGGTTAATATTTGGAAGTTTCTCTCCACAAGGAATGGGACAGAGACCCTCCAGAGGGCAGCACCAGTTTCTGCAGTGAGAAAACCTGCTGCTGCAGGTTTTGTAGGCTCAAAGCACAGTTCAGCTAGTGCATACAGCAGACTGATATCCCTGGAAATTTTAAACTTCTGCTCATTCACAGCGTGGGCAAGTGCAGGGCATATTCTCTCACAAAGAAAGATTGTGGTCCATTGGTAGAGCTGTTGAGTCTCCATGAACCCATTCAAACCTTAGGCAGTTTCCCCCATTCAAACCTCCGGTAGTTTCCCAAGACTGCTAGAAGGTGCGGGGCCCCCAGTACTAGGAACTGGACTGAATCTCAATTTATTTTACCATCCAGTGGCTCTGTCATGATCTATGTAGCCTCTTTGATTCACCCCTGACTTGGGGTTGCGTGGTATTTTGTTAAGAACCACCCTTGGGTCAATGGTTTTAGATCAGTCTGATAACTCTGGTCACTGGGTGGACTCTGTGATGTTAAGTATCTTGTACTTGAACACATGTAAAAAAAGATCAGAACAGGATAACAGGGCCCCAGCTCACCATGGAAGCACAGCTTTGTTTCCTAAAACCTCTGCTTGAAGTAAGTTTATGCATTTTTCTTGTGCTCCTTCCTCCAGGAAACAGCAGATATGCTGAAGAGTCACATTAAGGAGGAACTGATGCAAGTTGAAGCAGATGAGTCTGTTTATGAGTCCATGGCCCATCTCTCCACTGACCTGTTGATGAAATGTTCCCTAAATCCTGGCTGTGATGATGAGCTGTATGAATCCATGGCTAACTTAGTGTCTGGTGCCACAGAAGATCTTTGTACGTATAATCTTTATTATTAATCGAGTCTGCTCTGACGTGCTGTAATTACAGTGTGTTGGAGGTGCCTCCTGGTTTGTGTACAGGCACCCCAAAATGTTAAAAGGTACCATCTGTTCTTCACCTGAGTTTGTAAGCCCCTCTTTATAAAGTCTTATTTAGTTGCTGTGGAGATGGTTTTGTTTCTGGAAAACCAAGATTATTCTGAGTTCAGGTGAGAATAAGCAGCAGGGCCAGTCAAACTCTTCAAGAACAAAGCTCCTGCTGTGCCTAGTAATTAAGTGTGTTGGTGGGAGGAGGACTGTGGATAATGCAGACTATTGTGAAAGTTTTCTGCACAGAACTTGTTTTTGGATGTTTTGGATTCTCCTTTTGGGAGTCAGTGGATCTCTTCATAAAGTCTGAATGTGGTCCAGGCAAAAAAACATTGGTGCTTAAGATCACCAAGCTAAGCTTCTCTTTCCTCTGTATTTGAAATGTTTAAACTCCACAAAAGCCCAAACAAAATTGACTTATCCTTTTGTTGTGTTTAATTTATTTATTAGCTTTATATGCTGTGCTTCCCAAAAGAGGCTCAGGGGAGCAGAGTTACAACAGGGAATTACCATGTGCTGAGCAGTGGTGGCACAGTGCCAACTACTGTGCCACTGGTGGTAGCAGTGCCTCACTCCCCCAACGAAAGGCAGAACCTGGGGCTACAGTCCCAGGCTCCCCCTAACCCCATCCCCACACTACTGCAGGGTGACTTACAATAAAATAGATAAAATAAATACAGAACAAATAAATAGACATGGAAAATAGAAACAATAGATACAATAAAAAGCAGATAATGACAGCACAAAATATTAAAATAAAATAATATGTAATAGAAGACCCTCCCCAGACATTGACCTAAAACTTAACCACACCTGCTGAAGGCCTGCCAAAAACAAACTGAATAGACCAGGGGTGCTCAGCTTCCAACCTGTGGCGCTGTGTCATTTGGCCCATGGGGCTCCCCACAGATCCAAAAATTTGGCACTGGGAGAACAGTGGCATCACTCCCCTGTTGCCAAATCTCCAGATCCATGGGGAGCCCCAAGCCTGGCGCACTGGATCTGATGCCTGATCCAAGTGTGCAGGGCCAGGGAGAAGCAGTGCTGGGCCCCAGAGCCCAATACTGGCAGGAGGGGGCAGTGCTGGGCCCCAGGGTCCAGTCTGGCCTATGTACCAGCCCCATGCCACTAATTTGGCCTGTGGGGCCAAAAGGTTGAGCACCACTGGAACAGACCAAACTGAGTTCCTTGTAAATTACTATTTACAAGTCTTTAGAATTAAACTGTAAAATGTAGCTTCATTCTGAAAAGTGACTTTCAGTGGCAACACAGGGTTCCCCATTTTTGGGGGCTTGACAAGAAAATAGACTGAGTCAAGCAGCATACCTTGAATCTTATTACTAAGGAACGCCTTCTTAGTCAAGCCTGATAACTTCAATGAGTTTGCAGAATCTTGTAAGATGAGAAGTTATTGTTTTTGATGCATGAAAGAACTACATCCAGTTTTTACTCTCTGGTTGGCTTGCAGGGTTAACAAGAGCTAAAAAAATTAAAAATCCCAAACCATTCAGCCACTAAAATGAGCATCTGACTCTGATTTTGCACAAGGAGCCTAGTGGAGTGGTGAGGTGCCATTTTTAAGACTTCACAAAATAGAGCTGCAGTGCCATGGCAAGAAGGTTTGGCACCTGAGAAAAAACCCGCAGCGGCAGCCCGCCCTCTCCCCATACACTGATCTGGGGCGGCACACGTCCCCCCATGCTTGCCTGGGAGTGCACACAGCAGTGGGAGCCACCCTCCCTCCATCCCCACGTCTTCCCCAAATGAAGTGCTCATGGCTTCGTCCCATGCCCTGCTCCGGCTGGGCAGCATGTGTTGGCACCCTTTCGCTTCAGCACCTGGGATGGTTGCCCGCTCGCCCCCCCGCCAACCATCCCCTTGCTACAGCACTGTAGAGCTGTTTTTAATATGGAGGGTCTGTCCATAGAATTTGGTGTAACCATAGACCAGTTAGGGACAAAGTGGTTCCTCCTTTTTCCACAGAGCTGTGCTTTTGTTTGTTTTGGGTTTTTTTCTATACAAAGCGATGGTAAAAGGAACATAACTTCAAAGTCCAGCTACAGGAGCTGAGGAAACCCAAGCTTTTAATTTTAGAGATTTAAATCTTTAATCTATAAAACCTGCAATTGTAGAGACACTCTTGGAAGAGAACCTATTAAACTTGTGTGCTATGGAGTTCAGAGAAATGTTAAGGATCCCCCAAATTCTCATTAAGCACGAGTCCTGTACACTCTTCCTTTTGCTATGTCTCATGGTACGAGCTGTGTAATTAGCAGCTTCCCATTGTACTCCAGCTTTTCTGAGGCAAAAATTTCTATACTATTTATTGGTTTTGAGGTACTGCAAGAAACTGCAGCCTCCTTGTTTCCCTCAAGTGAACTGAGAGAATTGTGCACAAAATGTAGCTGCTCTAAAATTCTGTGATCATGCCAGAACAATGAAGCCTGTGTCTTAAAGAATGAAGAATTGACCTATGAATACAATTGGCTTTGTACACACTTGGTAAAACCTGACAGAAAGTGTCTCCTATTTATTAGTGGAAAAGGGGGTTTCATAAAAGGTAGGTACAGACACAAACTGAAACAAGTGCTTGTTTATTGTTGCTGTCTTTAAAAGCCAGTGAGTAGTGACTCATTTCTAGCAGGTTTAGTTCTCTGATACCTTAATGAGCAGCTGTTAAGATTTCTAAAGTCACTAGTTTCTGGAGCATGAGGATGGGGAAACTGAAAGCTAATTTTTCAGACTCGTCCAGCCTTGTGCACTGTAAGACCTGAGGTCCCAGCATCAATTCACCTCTCCCCCTGGTTTAACAGGCCAAGGCCCTTCATCCAAATTCCTATGATAGCCTCAGGCACACCAAGACCCCCTGCAAAGCTGTTGGTTGTGCCACCTGGCTATAAGGTTCAGATTCTGTGTGATCCTTCTCCCCCAGATCTCTGGCTCCAAGTCATATTCTCAAGTCATGCAACAAGAGGAATAGTTTTTGTAATTAGCAACATTCAAGGTATCTGCTTGATTTCATGCTTGATCATCATGCAAAACAAAGATATCTGGGGTACAAGGATGTGGCAGTTGTCTCTCCCAAGGTTCTTCTTCCATTAGGCATTTTTTTTCCATTTACTCACTGTATGTTATTCATTAATGTCAGAACCCTCTATACCTATTTCACTAGATTATATCATTCATCTAATGTTGGTTTTATGCTCACTCATGTGCCATCCTCTGGTGAAGATGGGCATGGGGAACAATGCTCCAAGATGCTTTCCCACCCCCTTACAAGGTTATTGGTCTTCTATTTTTTGAGCATAGAGAGTTAGTTAGCTGTATTAGTCTGAAGTCAGGCAGAAGGCAGGGTAGACTTTCATTTTCTATGAATAAATGTAGTTAGTCTATTAGGTGCAAATATGTCTTACCATCTTCATTCAGCTTTGCCTGTCTGGGGTTGGCAGACTTTATTACACTTATATTTGACTGTCTGCTTTCATGCAAGTTTCCAGCATAATTCTCAGCGAGATATGATGCTTGGGTTTGCCTGCTTTTGATTTTGTTCTTTCATAGCAAAATTTAATGTGGCTTTGGATTGGAAAAAGAAAAAAATGGACCCCATACAAAAACATGCCATAGTCATGCCATTAGTCATGTTTTAAAACTAAATAGGGTTGGTTAACAATTCATTAATGTCCCTTAAAGCATACCTGATGTTTACACTGGCTATAATTACTAATAATGATATAAAACAATGACCACTTGATACATGATTTTTCTTTGCTTGAAGTAGATGAATAGTTTTTTGGCTATTTAGATTGGTTTTGCTCAGAAAAGTAGCAGCTACGTGATCTAAAGCTTTGACTTCATGGCTTCCTGTTCCTGTAATGGTGTATTAGTTCTACAGAACATGGACAAAGAGGAACATGGTGCTATCTATCTTTTTCTATTCAGAAAATAAAATGAACTTTGTATTCCCTCCACTCCCCTATTCCATCCACTTCTGAATCCAAAAACCAGCAGGTTAGTTAGACTGTAGTTGTCCATGGCTCATTCATATAGGTTGCAAATACCATTTTATTAACATTATTAATTATTTGGATGCAAAATGAAAACTCACTATACAAATAGGCACTCTACAGCTGATAGTTCAGGATACTCAGTCTTGGGCTATGTGGGTTTTAAACTGGCTGAGAGCTAGCAGTCTAGCCACAACAGCACAAAGCTCATTGAGGGCTTCAAAACATGCTTGAGAAATTGAGTAAACATTCAGGTGATTAATCTGTATCAGCTCAGGTGTGTCTGTGTGAGTTGCAGTCACTTCATTGACTCTTGTAGACAGACTCTTATAGACAGTAACTACCAGAAATTCTCAACATGCATTTGGTGCCCTCACTAAATGATGTTAATCATGTGTGCTGTTATGTCTTCCTGAGCTGTGCATTGGAAGCATCTGGAGACTGGAAGAATGAAATCTTCCACAATGGCGTATCATTTTTGGTTACATGAAATCCAAACCGTCAGAACAGAAGCTTCTTCAAAAATTAGACTTGTCATAACAAAAGCACTTGTATTAAGCTGGCTACAATGAAGTATATTCCTTTTTATTTTGGTGTAGGTATATAATTCTCATTGGTCTCAATGGGATTTAGCACACAAACAATGGTAGGGTTGTAAATTGTCCATCTTTCTTTTTGTTTCTTACCATGAAGTCAAGTAGCTGGTGGGTGGTCTCAGGGACAGTATTTTAGAAATGTCATCTGATTGTATTGGGTGTCTACATGGAAAACACTGTTTGAAGACAGTCATTCAATTGCTGTTCACAATTGTGCTTCCAGATGTTGAGATGCTCCAATCAAAATCAGACACCCCGATCACTAGAGATGAGATTTCTATGAGAACCAAAGACTCTATGCTGCGCAAATTTTTAGAAGGTGAGAACTGTAGGCTTGCAAGTGCATGTGAGGGGTGGTGGGGGTTGCTCTGAATGAGGAGGAGCCTTTTCTTTAGTATTAAACCATTCAGATGCAAGCAACTTGAAATATCTTCCTGATGTGGAAAGCTAGAAGCAGACTGGTACAACTTAAAATGGTAACAATGTCTGGTAAAATGCTCAAGGTATCAGACCTGCTTGGGACACAGTACAGTGCATTGAGAACTGGGAGTTTCTGCTGGCAGTGTTGTATTATTGAATAGTTATACCAGTGAAGATTGAAGAGACATGGCCTTTGTCTCTCTAATTCACTATCTAACTTCCTAGATTGGTCAAAGGCCCCTCTCCTGGGCAAGGCCAACCTAACACCAGAGAGAAGAGGAGCCAAATGCTGATTTTTCAGAAATGAAAGCTGTCCTTTAAACCCTCATTTGTTGTACCAACCCAAAGTGTTCAGGGAGGAAGACCTATTTAAGATATGGTGGGGAGGGTAGCTTGTTGGGGTCAGTGACTTTGCAGTATGCTGCAGTCACTTTCAAGCTTTTTTGTCATAACCATGAGGGCTAGAAATTTCCCTTTATTGCATTTCAGAACAGAGGTTCTCAATTGCCCAACTTCAGGATTCTTAACTAACACTAAATAAGGTGATATTTGTGTTAAAATGGCAAGTTGGCCATTCAGCCTCTAAAACAGCTTATCCACTTGTGCTGAGTTCTGGATGTCCAGTATCTTCCCTTGTGTAAAACATGACTTTCTGACTCGAAGTGGATTGTTGATTAAATTAGTGGAGTGTCAGATTCATCTTTGTAAAGGGGAGGTTGTCTTGGACTTTTTGTATGGAGAGCCACAGCATCTCTCTGCAAAATGGGACTCCAGGGGTGCTTTTGTAAGAAAACATCCTCCACTGAAAGAGGAGGAATAAAACTACGTGAGATTTGGAACCATCTTAATCTGTACAGGTACATTCATTTGTGGTCCGCATCTGTTAACTGAATTTGATGTCAGCTACTATGTGTTGTGACCATTCTATACCATTGGCCTCCAGTTGTGATGGGCAAGGGAACATTTTCTAGACAACATGACCCTGGTTACATTGCAAGTAGTGGAAAGAATTGTGAAGCCATTGTATTTGCCAAATTTGTTCCCTGAACAATACCTGGTATTTGAGACCAGATCTGTGCAAATAAAACTTTCGCTGTGGCAGCAGTGGACCCATTTCATACTGGCAAAATGCTTTTTCCTTTGTCACTTGTAGCTTATTTTCCTTGTTGAACCTGTTATACATTAAACACAAAACTGTGTTGGAAGCTTTTGTCAACAAAGCTGTGCTCACCAGACTCTGAAGCAGTGATTCTCAACTAGGGTGTTGTGGCACCCTGGGGTGCCTTGAGATCCTTCTAAGGATGCTGTACCATGCTAGCAGTGTTGGGTGTGCAAACGTGACCCACAAGATAAAACCCAGAGATTTAAAATAGGAATTCATAATATTAAAAATGTTGTGAGCCAGTGTCTTTCTGATTTCTTTTCAACAGAAGAATTGCTCTAGTATTTTTCTGTAGTCAAAAAGTGAAAGAAAACTAAGAGCTGGTGATTTCTAAAGGTGTCTCAAGTCTAAAAGAGTTGGGAACCACTGCTCTGAAGCATGTGCCCGCCCTGGGTATTGTTCTGGGAAATCCTGTTGCCTGCTGCCACCTGCCTGTGCTGCTGTGAGCCTGCAGGGTGGAACATGGGTCTAATAGAAGAATTGGCTATTAAGTGAAGCCAAGAAAATTAAACAAAGATGTCTTGGCCAGGAACTTAATGTGGCACTTGGGGCGCTTGTACACATGATGCTATTAACATGTACATGTGATGAAAATGTCACTGTGTGGCTTAATGGTGTCATGGTGTACACGTGCAAGACTTTGCGGGGTTTTAAATGATTTTACATTGTTGCAAACTAAACTACATCCAGATATAGTTTAGTTTGCAGTGTTGCAAATTGCAACGATGCAGCTGTCAGCTCACCCCTTAGTTGCAGGAGAGGCGGGCAGGCTCCACAGAAAAAAAAGGATCAGGCCCCTCAACACTTCTGCCTTCAGCAGGTGCCTGCTGGAGGCAGAAGTAGTGATGGGCCCGATCCTTTTTTTTCCTGATGGAGCCTGCTTCCCTCTCCCATGGCTGGGGGGCAAGCTGATAGAGGGCCAAGTGGCCCTGGAGCTGCAGGGGCCCCCAGTCCTTCCCTCCACAGTGGCAATGCCCCCTGGGGCCACCTGGGCAGGTTGCTAGCAGACCAGGTGCTGCCCCAGGTCAGGGTTGGGGAAGAGCTGGATCAAGCCGGGTGCTGCCTCCAAGCTGGGGCAATACCTGGCCCACTAGCAGCCCACCCAGGCAGCCCCATGGGGCACCACCATTGTGGAGGGAAGGACCGGAGTCCCCCCAGCTTAGGGGCCAGGGGCCACTTGGCCTGCTGGTAGCTCGGCCCCCAGCAGCAAGACTCAGGCAGGTCTGTTGGAAAAAAGGATTGAGCCCCTTGCTGCTTCTCCCTTCAGCAGGTGCCTGTTAAAAGCAGAAGCAGTAAGAGGCCTGATCCTTTTTTTTTTTTTTTTTTTTTTTTTTGGGGCCTGCCCCCTTTTGGGGGGGGGGGGGAGGGGGGTGGAATTGCCAGTGGACCGAGTGACCCCTGAGCTGTGGGGTCCCTGGTCCTTCCTTCTGCGGTGGCAGTATTTCCCAGGGCCACCCAAGTAGGCTGCTAGTAGGCTGGGTGCTGCCCCAGCTCAGAGGCAGCACCCGGTCTGATCCAACTCTTCCCTGGCCCCCAGCTGGGGCAGCACCCGGCCTGTTAGCAACCCACCTGGATGGCCCTGGGGGGTGCCACTACCATGGAGGGAGGAACCGGGGTCCCCTCCAGCTCAGGGGCCGCTCAGCCTGCTGTCAGCTCACCCCCTGGCAGTGGGCAGGATCTGACCAAAAAAAAAAAAGAAAAGGCTCAGGCCCCTCATCGTAATGTGACAGAAAAATTGAAACAGTTTAATCCTCAGGGTTTTATTCTATGCCCCACTATTTCAATTTAGGGGGTGTAGAATAAAACCTTGGGTATTAAACTCCCGTCACGTGTAAAAGTGCCCTTGGATTTCATACTAATGTGATGGAGGAGAAAAAAATCCAGTTGGGAGACATAATCGGCACTGGTCTTAGACACCCAACCAGCATCTGATATCCAGCTGTACTGCCCTGCTGGCTCCCAAGCCTGATCTGATCTCTTTTCCAAAGCTGCTGCTTTTGCATTTTCAGACTACACTCAGTCCCCAGCTCCCCACTTACCCTCAGACATGATAAGAGTCCCCATCCAACACTTCTCTGACTCTTCAGATTCCTGCAAGATCCTGTTTCAGTTCCCTGTGAGGGATCCATCTGGCGCAAGAATGGGACTGAAACTGTGGCTTTTAATTTCCTACCCTGTGTGGCCCCTGCTAGTGCTGTCACTCTGTGCTGGTGGCATAACAAGCTGAGTGGGCATCTGGGGCAAACCCTGCAGGTGGGGACGCAGGGGGGACACAGTTCTGGGGAGGTGAGCAGGGGGCAGGGGAGGCCCATGGATTCTGAGGAGGGGGAGGAATGTGGTTTGAGGGCAGGGGGTGAGGGGGCAGGAACTGCTAAACAGTCCCGGCTCAACTGTAGCTGTCCTACATGTTCTGCCTGGCCCAGCTGTTGCTCTTAAAGCAACAGCAGCCAGGAATTATTTCAGAGTTCCCAGCATGGTAGTGCTGCCAGGACACGGACTCTGTAGGGGTTGGGAACAATTCCAGTGTCCTCCTAATTTGGCTTCTGGGGAGGGTGCCCCTCTCGCCCACTCCTAGTTATGCTGCTGCTCTGTGGATCCCACTGTCCTTGCCAGCCTTACAGATTCACATGCATCACTGAAGGGAGGAATGCTTCAGTGTTTAAAGCATGGGCTTAGGACTGATTCAGTTCCCTGTCATTCAGTAAACTCTGAGTAGCCTTGGGCAAATCACTTAGCTAGCCTGCCTCAGTCACAGGAGAATTGTGAGGATGGAGGCACTAGGGACTGCAAAACACTCTGTGGCTATGGTAATAGGGGCCAAATTCATATAAAAGCATGGCCTTTTATATTAAGTTCCAAGGGGAGTTGGTTCAGCTTCGCCAAGATATCAGCATTCCAGTTTGTTAACCGCCTGCCTATGGCCAGACGGGACTGATTGCATGAGATCTAAGAAGCTAGAAGCTTCCCAGCTTCCTGCTGGGAAGACAGGAACAGGTTCCATTTTCAGTGTTCCCTTTGTCTCTTCTGCTCTTTTCATGTGGCATACTTTAAGTTCCTTATCAGGCTCATCGTAGCTGTCATGCGCAAGGAGCTAGTATGTAGGTTCTTGGGGGCCTTTTGGGGTAAATTGTAGCCTTCACTTGCAAAACGGGGTGGATGGGGGCATGGCAGGTAGCAGCGGCACTGAGAGGGGGGACTACAGGGGAGCTATGGCAAATTTTGGTGTGCTGCTGCCCCCTTCCATAGCCCCCTCTCCAAATGCTGCCAGTGCCTTGCCTCACCTGCCCTGAGCACAGCCCACCCTTGCCCTGAACACAAATCTGGGGGGCACATGTCCCTATGCCTCCCCTGGGGGTGCACACAGTGGCCGGGAGCTGCCCCTCCCCACACTCCCGAATAGGGTGGCCATCATAGAGGACAGTCCAGTTGTCCTCTGTTGATATGATACTGGACACCTTTATGTCCTTTATTTTTCTCTTCAAGAAAAAAGTAGAGGACATAAAGGCATTGGGTTTCGTGTCAATAGAGGACAGAGGACAGAGTAGTAGAAAACTGGAATGTCCCTTTATGATGGCCACTCTATCCCTGGACGAGCCATCCGTGGCTCTGCCCCACAGCCTGCCCAGCCCTGGCTGGGCAATACCTCCTTCTGCCTCTACCCCAGCCCCACTCCCTCCCTTACTGTGGGGGCCTTGATCTGCCCCTCTCATGCCCCTTCCCTCCCCCACGCCCTTTTCCCCCCACAGACTTACTGGCTGGATGTTGCTCTCCAAGCTGCCGGGCTGCATGTTGGCAATTGGATCGGTATTGGCTGATATGGCTAGTTAATAACTGGTCATCGGGATTGGCCAAAAAAATCTTTATCCCTGAACCCCTAGCACTGACTCTTGTTGCCTTTCAGGCAGTAGCGTAGATATGCCAGATTCAGAAGAAAATTCTTACCTGCAGTGCAGTGGGGAAGATCTTTACTACACTATAGCACAGGATGACTTTCCTTCAGAGGTGGCTAACAGGCCTCCAGTTCCTGTTCCAAGGCCGGATGCCAGCTCCCCACCACCAGACAAAGAGCTGTACATTTCCAAAGGTGAGTCCTGTATCAGAACAACTTGTAGTCAAAGCTACAGAATACAGCTTCATGGCGCATGTATGGTAGATGGGGAATAGAGATGTACTCCAGATGCCAAATGCTGATCAGAATCCACATCTGGTTTCCCAAATCCCCAGAGTTTGGATTGTTCAGTTCTGGGGTCCTGGTTCAACTTGCAAGAGGTAACACCCCATTTTGAGATCCAGTTCTTGATCTGAGTTTCACTCTTTTGCCTACACTAGGTATATCCCAGAGTTGCAAGGCAGCTATTAGGCCAGTGGGCAAACTGAGACATAGAAACTGTGGCAGTGTGATACAGAATGGAAAGAGCTGTGGAGACAACTTGGGAGTCCTGACTCCAAGCTGCTACTCTAAATCACACTCACTTTCATCAAAATTATTAAATACCTCTGGAACCACAAGATAAAATATAGAAAAGCCATCCTTATTTGCTGTGGTTTTTCATATGATCTGGTAGATTTCAATTAAATTAAATGGAATTGTCAGGTCAAGTATTTTAAAGGCAGATTTGGAAATCCCGGACATAATATTTCAAGTACATTCTAGAAATATTATAGTAAAGCATAGGAAAGTCACTTAGGATGACCCCCAACAGCAGAGTGACACTAAAACACCTGTGGAAAAACATATGCAGACCTTGCTTAGGGCTGGATGGGTTGAATCAACTGATGTTCCAGGGAAGGAAGTTCTCATACTGTCCCTGTCCCATTTTCTTTCACAATTGTCAGTGGGGTTGCATGGGTTGTAAGGTAGTGCAGAATTGGCTTCATTTCTCATTCTTTCTCTCCTGCCTGATATGCAATCTAGTATCTAAAGAATATGTGTCTTACAGTTTTTGCACAAAAAGCCCGAAGACCTGAGAATCTTTATATCTCTTCAGAGAGGGTTAAGAAAGGTAAGTGTGGTGTCTGCACCTTGAAAAAAACGACTGACTTAGATTCATGTGTGAAAGTTATATACTGGCTTACTTCCATTGCTGGAGTGGACATAGCCACCTGCAACCTCTCAGCTAATGCATTGTTGAGACACAAATGTGTGTCTAATTTAAACTTAATTCATAAGAAACACCCCTAACATATTTTAGATTCCACCAGCACTTGGATGACCCTTTACCTTTAAGTCTTTGAGCTGTTTTCAAAGAGTATCTGGAAAGAATCTAGTTCTGTGGCTGGGGGTGGGGAAAGCTTTTTGATTCATGGATTTTGGGAGATGGGTGATTTACTATAGGGGTGACAGGCTTGCTCCTATGTGTTGATTATAAGTCTTCAAGACTATCTGTAACGGGATGCATACCAGAGTCTGATGATGACATGCTTCTGCTTTCTGGGCTATACATCTCTTCTTCATTTTGCTTTTTTTAGCTTTATGTGATCTAAAGCATTTGTAAGGGAGTATCTAAAAACAAACCCCATTGATTTCTTGGTAGCTAACAATCAGCTAAATTAGTTGCAAAGCGCTGTTAGGCCAGTCACTTGCTATAGCTGCTAGGAAATGTCAGCTGTAGGTCACTGTTACTGGTATAAAAAGTATAAAAAGAAAATAAAATAGCTTCCTGTATTGAAAAAACAAGTAGATGTACAGTCAGGGACAGGATATTCTATATATACAGCTGGTTTATCTTTCTATCAGTCAGACTTAAGCTTATATAGAAAGCAAGACTTCTGTGTTTTTTCTGTTAGGTTTATAATGCTCATTCTAGGATGCTGTTAGGGCATTGTACCCAAAAACTTATGTAACCCTTGTGGTGGGCACTGTTTGGCAGCAACAAAGGCCAAGTTCAAATTTCTGGGTACTCAATAAGTTTTTACTGTGGCTCAAGCCCCCACCCAGAAAATTGGGGCCACTGAATTTGGCTGGGGTCTTCCCCATAAACCAAACCTCCTCCTGGCAAGTAATGTAAACACAAAAGGACAGAATTATTACAGAAAACAAGGCTAAAAGAGAACAAAGGAAACACCAAATGCAGTTCAAACACTCTTAACTACAAGGTATAGTCTCTAGTTTGCACCCCCTTTGGGGAGACTCCACCCATGCCCAGGCAGTCTGAGACGTGGCGGCTTACCCAAAAGGTTAGTTCTGGGGGCCTGCACCCCTATACCTGCTACTCAGCAACAGGTTGGAATGGGGGCTACACTGGAGAGTCTTATGAGCTGCTCCTTGGGGTTTGCTGCACCTCGGGGAGTTGGTAACGAGCGTAGGTCCTTCTGTGATGCAAGGGGCCCCTCACTGCTCCCTGGGAAGCTGTAGGGCACCGATCTCCACTTCCACACGGTGGCTTTGAGGGGGTTGTTGCGGCTTCAGTCAGCATACTGCACCCCCAAAATTCCTAGTCCCAATTCCACAGCTCTGCTGGGGCAAAATAGCTTCAAAAGAACTCTGCAGGCGTATCAGCACTGTGGCTTGGACATACAACTGATCTCAGCTACACAGCTAGGCTGAGACAAAGGAGCTGCTAGCATGACAAACGGATCAGGCTCTAGTTGCCAACCCTCCCAGATTGGCCGAGGGTCTACTAGAATCGGCATCAATCTCCCAGTGACTACTGAAAGCAATCCAGGAGATTTTAATAGGATGTTTTAAGAAAATAAATTCAATTAATGACATTGCATCATATTGGGGGAAAAAAATCTCCCAGAATAGCTTCAGTCAGAGTTGGCAATCCTACCAGGCTTCAACCCTGACCCAAAACTGCCAGATTCTAATCCTGAAAGTTTGCTCCAGGGATTAATACCCCCATGGGATGTTTCCCCTTTTCTTTCCTGGGTTTTGAGTGGGATAAAGAAAGAAGGAGAGAAGAGGAGTCCCAGACACTGAGACTCTCTCTCTTTGTTCATGTAGGCTCCTGGGATCCTCTCTGGGGTCTTCCTCCCAACTGCAGCTCCAACCAGCTCCCCTTTCTGTGTACCTGGTGTGATATCACTCTAGCTTTCCCAATCAGGGCTTCCATGCCCTTCTCTTAACCAGTTAATTTAAAAGATCACTGCCCAGTCTAGCCAATTAGCCTAGGGGTCTGATCTGATCTCCCCTGCTGAGTATGTCTGAAATCAATCTTTCCCTTTCAGTACACAGCAGGGTGGGTGTACAAAAGCCACAGGTGTCAGAACACCCCAGGGGGCTTTTTTGACTACCTGCTAAGACAGCCCTGCTTCTTTTCAGATCACAAGCAGAGATGAGAAAAGATGCAGAAAACATGAGTATGTACAGTAAAGCAGATGCATATTAAACATGATCATATTTAAAGTAGAACACACTTTGAAGTACAAAATTGCTTGTACCTTTTGTGTGTCTTACACATATATATTTAACCCAGTAAGTTCTGAACCATCCACAGGCCTCACTGACCTTAGAATGGGGTCATTAGCAGTAATATGCTGCTCTTATCTCGTTGTTTTTCACTCATAGTTCTCATAATACTTCTTCATGAAGAAAAGCAATGGGGAAATAGAGCCAGAAAGAGAAGTACTTTAGCAGGCCTATGGCAGAGCTGGGAAGATACTCCAGACCTGAGTCCCAGTCCAGTGCTTTATCCACTAAAGCACTGTTGCCTTCGACCATTGCTTCAATACATTCAGTATGTTGAGATGAATGTTGGTTTAGTAGCTTGAACACTGGATATCAATGGCACCTGACACCCACTCTGCTCTAACATTGGGCAAGACAGGTTTTCTCTCAGAACTTGTTTTTCCTGTGACATTTTGCATTTGTTTAAAATAAGCTACTAAGAACGGGAACCCTCATTATTATTACTATGTGCTTGCACACAAGTGCCCCAGGTTTTGTCTGGTACCCCTCAATTTTATTGTAACACAAACAGTTGCATACATGGTCAGAGCTAAGATTCTGAAAAACAGGATGTAGATGGTGTAGCACATCAACTCATAAATGCAGTGAACATTTCTGTCCAGTAAAAAAGAAACTAGAAGCTTTATTAATATGTTAGGGGGCTAGCACTATAGTATTTAGTTTAAGATCAAAGCAAAAACAAATATTGGAATGTGTACTAATTTGCTAGATTATATATAAAGTTTAAAAAAATGCTAGGCAAAAATTAATCATAGTCAAAAGATATTATATAATTAGTTCTTTAATCATTCCAGTTTAAATGCAGCTCTTTTATTCAGATTCATAAAGCAAAATCTAGCCTTCTTGAGCATCTTGACAGTACCTCTAGTACTTCACTGTTGGTCATTTCTACACCTGAGTTAATATTACCAAACCTGAGTTAAAGTTTTTAGCTAGAGCTAAAACCAGGATGCAGGGCTGTGAAATAGAAGAGAGGCATTACCATGAACAGCTAAGAGATAGAAAAATTGCAGAAGAAAGACCATAGTGTGGACTGTCAAGACCACAGTCATTTACACTGGTGGCATGGAGAGGGATTAGCCAGAATTAGGGAGATGACAATAAATAATGAAGTCACTTGACTCCCTCAGTGCTGCCAGAATAGAAATATCACTGCCCCTCCCAGGCAGTTGGTTTTAACATTTGGGTGGAGCAAGCATCAAAGGACACCCCTGCAACCTTCCTGCATCCGCCCCTGGTTGCATATCATAGAATGCATCTAAAATGGGTCACTTGGGTTGCTGGAACCACACACTTTCCTGAGCTGTCTGTTCAGATTATCTGCTATACCTCTGCACTAATTTAAGCATGTTTTTACCTGTCCTGTGACAAAAGTCCTGGATACCTGGGAGGTCTCCGCTTGTATAATTAACATTATAGATGTAAATTGCACCAGCTCTCCTAAGTTAGCTGCTGCAGTAGGTGGAACAACAGCACCTTTCTAATAGGTGCTGGGGAAACCTGTAAGAGCCTATTTGCATTAAGCAAATGCCTGACCCAGAATGGTTGCAGACACATGATACCAACACTGGTATAAGCTGTTGTGTTTTACTGCTATTTTTGTAGGAGTAACTTTACAGTGGAATCAAATGAATTAGGCCAGTGTAGGGCTGCTTGTCATGCATTGCCTCCTCGATAATGCTAATGTAAAACCAGATTCCACAGGCATGTGTTGTGTATCCAGGCCAAAAACTGATTGCAGAAATTCAGTGACATTTTGACTTTCTCTTTTCAGAACCAGCCGTCAGGCCAGTCAGGGACGCATCTCAGTCAAGCATATATGATCCATTTGCTGGGATGAAAACCCCGGGTCAGCGGCAGTTAATTACTTTACAGGAACAAGTCAAGACGGGAATACTCAACGTGGATGAAGCTGTGCTCCATTTTAAGGAGTGGCAACTGAACCAGAAAAAGAGATCAGAATCATTCCGGTTCCAGCAGGTACGTGCTTTTTTCTACCTGTTAGCTGTTTTCCAGTCCTGATCACTCAGTGACTTCAGTGCTCAACTTAGCCACTTAGCTACCTTCCTCCAGGTGACCCAACAGCCACTGAGGGCTGTTACTTTGTGACTCATCTCCACCCTGTAAGGTCCTGCCCATCCTGTCTGTGCTGAAACTTCATGCTTGTCAGTAGCCTGATCCATCTCCCAGCACTTTGCAAGCCAGAATGAAAGAAGGCTTTAGCCAGTGTCCAGAGGTGCTTCTTTGTGACTGGCAAGATGTTCTAGCAAACTAGTTTTAGGAAAAAGCTTTGATTAGCCTAATCCCTGTGTGGAGGTCAGTGTCTGAGAGCAGCTCAGTAGTTTGCAGCAGGGGCTGAAACACTAGCAGCCATATTGTAATGCTTCTGTGTTCAAGCCTCATTGGCTTTCCCAAAATTAATGCAGCACTAGGTTGTGTTATCATCACTGTCAGTTTAGGCTGTGTCAAACTTGACTATGGCATATGAGCTAAGGCTGTGGGTGCTATTGCCATTTGAGACTCTTTTTGGAAAGGCAGGACTGTACTTCTACCCCATTCTCTCCCACAAAGGTCCCCTTGATCCAGAGTGCATCATGTTAATTCCTCTTATGTGTTGCTTCACTAAAGTCCTGTGAGTGACAGCTAGCGTCCTCCAAGCAGAGATGAACTGAGATGTTGTTTGGAATCCAGTATGCTGCTACATACTAGCATAAAAACTAATCTTCTTTCCACGCGTATGCCTTCTCCCCTGGGCAGATGACAGTGCTCTGTTCTGAAATTCTGCTTTTTCATCTACCAGTTGCTCCTGTTCCTTTCCCACCTCTGTAAGTTTTCATCCTGTAAGGCTTTGTCCCCAAGAATGCCTTTCCATAATGTAACGTCTTTATCACCATAAGATGCAAAGATTACCATGCACTGCTGTGGTGTGGCAGTGACACATCAGGTCCAGTTATATCTCTGGACTTCAAGTTCCCACATATTTCAACAGGGAGGGAGTGTCCTTTGTAAGCTGGGAGGAATAAACAGCACTCTATTACTTGTGTTCATAATTGCCTCTCTCTCCAATGAATGTGGCTGGATGGTTATTTCAGATAGGGAGTGAGCAGCACTGCAGATCCTGTTCCTTTGCCAGTGTCAATAATAGGGGGGATACAAATCCAGAAATCGAGAGATACAGGGATAAGTAAAATCTTCTCTAAATGTTTTTTTTTGAAGATTTTTAATGAAAAGCATTGGTAGCTCTGCAAAACATGACTTATATATGCAGTAAGTATCTTCAAGTACCTTGGCTCCTGAAATGCAGTGTACACAATGTGTAACCTTCTCAGAGGACTGGATTAAAGCCCATTCACACAGGTTGGCCTAGATGTTATAGTACATGTTTGACTTTTAGTGGTATGAGTTGTTTTTTTTCTGGTTCTGAGACAGCACCCCTCTCCCAAAAGGAGTATTTCTGGGGGGAAAGGGGAAGGACTTCTGGTGGCAAAGGTCAGGGGTTAGGGGGTGGGATTTCTGGTTCCGAGATGGTGACCAGGGGGAGGGGCAACCCATGTGGCCCTTGACAGCTCACTAAAACTTGTTAAGTGGCCCGCCACCCAAAATAGTTGCTCACCCCTGGCCTAGAGCCAGATTTTGCAGATTGTGTGGTTTGTACTGTAACTTGGAAACAGATTTAGCCCAAATGTATTCTTGGTGCTGTCATAAAATTGTACATGTTCACTTATCCAAATCCCTGAGAAAAATGTCTTGTGATATTCTAGGAAAACCTGAAACGGCTACGAGACAGCATCACCCGGAGGCAAATGGAGAGGCAGAAAGCAGGAAGAAATTCTGGTAACAAATTCTGAGTCATACTTTTCTTCCAGTCAATGATGCTACTAATTGGGTAACTTGTACAGTATCTAACCATTAGTGCACGCATTATAATAGACACTGTAGGCTGAAACTTGTCTGCTGGTATTGTATTAACTGCATACTAAATTGGTGTATACACTGTACACCAATTTAGTGTACAGACAGTAGTCTGTAATATATACACATAAAATACATGCCTGTATAATGTATTAGCAAGTAAAACATGGGGAATCTACTTAACTGCCTATGCCTCAGTTTCCTTTTCTCCAAAGGGAGAAGATACCTGGTTGCATGGGTAAGGATCCATATTCATAAGCATAAAGTACGATGAAGATCTATGAGTTCAAGGACTGTATCAAAGGGTTGGGCAGTTGGCATTCTGTAGTGCCAGAGAGAGTTGTTTTAAGCTCTGGTTGAGCCAGCAGTCCTGGAAACTGCAAATTGCCTAAGGGTTAAGCCAACCCTACCTTTTCACAAAGATCTCTACTGCTGCAGCCAGGGAGTACCATGCTGGTCTGTCCACTGCTCTGAGCAGTCAGACTAGCATAGAAGGATCTGCTGCATCCCTGAGGGCCCTGCATGACTGTTGAATTCTGCTGCCCATTTCTTTTTATCCCTGCCAGAGAGTGCTGAGAGGCTGCTACAGTAAAACTTATGGAGCTGCTAGAGGAGTGTGGGGGAGTCAGGGAATAGGAGAGCTAAGGCTCGTATAAAGACTGGCAGCAGTTTGGGAGAGGTAGATCTGTGCTGTTATCAGTCTTTCACACAGACTTTGGTGCAGAGGGGAGATTTCTGTTCCAGAGCTGGTAACCCAGTGGGACTCCTTCAGGGAAGTCTAATGTTGACAGGAGCAGCTGAGGAAGCCCTTTCCCATAATTCCTTGGGGATAAGGAGGACTTTGTGCTCTCGTGATGTCCCTGACATCCTGCTCTGGGGTGCACAGCTGTGTTGTGGAAGCCTCAGGCAGGTGTGAGGGTAGGAGGCTTCCCTCAGGAATCGGATCCATTTAGGTTGTGCTTAAAATACTCATCCTGGAAAGGGGCAGATTGACATGGAATTTCCTTGGGTCTTTTGAACTGTCTGCAAGTGGCTCCAACACAGCTGTAAGTACATGTGGCTTTGAAATGTTCAGTCCCCTCAGCTGCACACTTGCACAAGATAGCATGGTATGATTTCCCCTCCAGCTGCTCTGTGCACATCTGGTCCCTGGGGCATGACTGAAGGCCTGGGCAACTGGAATATATTTAAAACTGGCTCCTTCCCCTTAACTCTGTCTCCCCCACATTGCAGCCAATCTGTTAATCCATTCCAGGCTCTTCTCTTTGGGCTGTCTTAAAAACACTACAGTGTCTCCAGGTGCAGCCTCCATTTGCTCTGAATCTCTTGCAAACTTTCTGGCTACACAGTACAAACAAGGCCATCCTCTTCCATGCTCTTAGTCTGTCCCAATGTTAGGCAACCCCCTCTTGTGTCATCATCCTTATCATGAGGAGAGGCCAGGCCAAGCAGATCCTTTCTGACAACACAGCTTTTGTCTCTTGGGGAAAGGGGAATGTTGAGATTGTCTTCTGGACCATTCTGTTTAGTCCTACTGGCCTGAGACTCCTAGATCTGAATCATTAGTTGTACTCACTCTGCCTGTCTCATAATTTGCCCAACCCTTAATGTTGCCCTAGTGCTTCTCATGTACCCTGTACTTTACAAGGGGTGTCCTGGATGGAGCACTGGTCCAGTACCACTGTTCTACAGGTTGTGGGGAGGCAGAAGGGATGAAGAGAACAATTCCATGACTTGTCCAGCACCATGTAGCAAGCCAGTGACAGTCTGAATCGCAGCACAAGAATCTTGACTTACTTTGGCTGTTACCATAGGACACATGTACAAAGCATGCTGCAGTGTGGTGTGGAGATACTCAAGTTAGATCTAAGTTACAGCAAGCAGTGGAACTGAGAAGCAGAGGACATTGGCCTGGGTGGAGTACTACCACAGCTAGACTGCTTCCAGCAGCTAAGCCAGCTTGTTCTGTGCAAACTTGAGTATTTCTGTGTAACACTGCATTGTGCTGTGTAGAGACCCACAGTACTCAGCCTGGAGATGAGAGCTAGAGCACAAAGTGGCTTATTCAGTCCAGTGTGTTTCTGCTGTGCAGGGAGAATAGTGATGCTATTTGCTAGTGTCACCCAAAGGTGGTTGTATCTGATCTTTCATGGGGAACACTTCCTTGGATACCTTAAGGAAGGGACAGTTAACCTTCTGACACAGAATGACCCACCCTAGGTCAGAGGTGGGTCTGTGCTAGGACATGGCTGCTGCCCCTGCTTGTCCCCATGGTGGCATGGGGAGAGTGCCCACAGCTGAAGCCCTAGCTCTGCAGACCAGATCCAGCGGTTCTGTGGGCTGGATTTGGCCTGCAGGCCATAGGCTGCCAACCCCTGCGTTAAATGTTGACGTGAATGATGTCACTTGGAAGTATCACCTTCCCCCTGCAAGTAAGAGCAGAGCTGTTGATCAGCCGCCCTAGCCTATTGTAACGTTGGTAGAAACTGAGCTGTGAAGACAAAATTCCTTGGTGGACTCTGAATTCTGATGTGAGGGAGTTCACATTTAACCTTTTGTATGGAAGTATGGTTGTCTACAGCACTTGAGAAAACCCTGACTGTGACTGAACTATGCTTAATCTCTCTGTCTAGACTTGGAAATCACTGAGCCTATTCGCCATTTGTATAATTCTCCTGGGAAAGTAGAATGCGGCATTTATGAATATACCCCCAGGAAAAGTGCTTTCCCACCAAAAAAGGAGCTAAAGCGAGGGGACTGGAAAACAGAGAGCACCTCAAGCACGACAAGTAAGTAGGTCCCCTGGTCCACCTGTTGGTACAGGACTGAGCTCACTTCCTCTCTTTGGCTCTTGACTTAGCTGAGAGAGCAAATATTGCCCTCCCAAATCCCCAAGACTAATACTGCAACACTGACTCATATGTGATCTACCCACACGGAATAGCTATAGATATCACGCCACCCACCAAACACAGACTGGCTGCCTCAGATGTGTTTTAGAAAGTCAAAGACGCCTTCAAAATTGCTACAACAGCAGCTGTGACCAGAAGCCACAGCACCCACATGGCCTCTCAAAATCTGAGAGACTGCATTTTGTGGTGTGGGATGCTGTCTTGCCCTGACTCCAATACTTGTATGTAATGCTAGGATTGTGAGGAGACCTCCCCATACCTCAAACTGGTTTAAAAATTATAGAGGGTTATCAGGTTGTAGATTGGTACCCTACTACTGCAGAGTCATCCAAGTACTGGCACCTGAGTACTGGCAACATAACCATCTTGGAGCTGTCAGATTGGCATAAAACTTGGGATTTCAAACTGGCATAATTTTGGTGTAGCAACTGTTACAGCAATTTCCTGAGGTGTAAACTGATATTGGAGTCAGACACTTTAATTTAAATGCAGCATTGGTGATTCTAATACAGTGGTTTTCAAACTTCCCAAAGTCATGGAACCTTTCCATATTACTTCTGTTGTGAAGTCCCCACCCCTATCCTAAAGACTGATGTAGAGCCAGATGACCTGGCCAGGCAATGGTGCCCCATTACCCCCGTCCCACTCCACCATTACCCCTAGTATCTTAATGGAACCCCTGATGACCTATCGCAGAGCCCAGCGTTCCACAGAAAACAGTTTGAAAACTACTGATTTAATGTGACTGCAAGGTACGGACCTGTGAAGGACCTCCTGGAAGCAAAGTGCAGTTGAATGAGCCTGGTCTTGGGATCCAAGCTGAGTGAAATGCAAAGACCAAGGACAGGGGATTGCAGAAAGGATGAATACTTAATTAGTCTGTCAAAATGAGGGTGTGGAGAGAGCAACTGTTACAGCTTTTTAAAATTATAACACTCTGCTGCTGATTTGCTCTAACACGGGGGTTGTTCGCTTGCGGTATGTGTACCCCTGGGGGTACTTGGGAAGGCCCCAGGGGATACGCGGTGGCAGTGCAGAGAAGCAGGGGTACATGGTAGGTGGAGGGGTGGGGTTGCCACCGTGCACTGCTTCCCCGTGCCCAGGTACCCCCGCTTCTCTGCGACACCCATAGGTGGCAGAAGGGGGGGGTAATGAGGTTCAGCCCCCACAAACACTGGGCAGAGGTAGGGCCACAAGGCAGCCCGCACATGAGCTTCTCGCAGCTGCAGCAGGGGTGGGGAGGGGCATGCACGCAGCAGTGACAGAGGGAGTGGGTCTAGGGAGCTGGGGCTGGGCCTGGGGCAGTCACTTGGAGCAGGACACAGGATGGAGCCATGAGCAGCTTATCTGGGGGTGCGGCTCCTGCTGCTGCATGCACCCCAGGAGGCACAGGGGGCAAGTGCCCCCGGATCTGCACAGGGCAGGGCAGGCTGCCGCTGCAGACTGGGGCCGGGGCTGCACCAAGCTCATCCTGGCGGGGGGAGTGGGGGAGGGAGGACTGCACTGTGGAGGGCAGCTGTGGCACTGGGAGGGAGCTACA